TGATACTGTAATACATATTTAACAAAATATTCTATTGTCGGTTGAAATGAGTGAATGTTTGGATGAAGATAAGGTGGTATCCACCATCTTGGCTCTTTAGAGAGTCCATGTTCTATTTTAGGGTGATATGTTAACATTCGATCAAGTGCTGTCGATCCAGACTTAGGGAAACCTGCCAAGAACACACGTGGAATACAAAGTCTTTTTTTGTGCACTCCGTTATGCTTTAGGATAACATTCTTTAACATGGCAGCATAATATTGTCTGGAATCAAAAAATGAAGGATCAGAATTGATATTGATATAAATGCGGTGTGAATTGATATTCCCAAACAGAGTATCATTAGAATGTAGCATCAGATTGATACTAATATTCCAGCATATACTTTGACTGTTAATGTTGCTCTGCTCTGGTGAAGGAAGAACTGTTTTGAGCAACTTAATAAAGCTAATAGCATCTTCCAATGCTTTTCCTTTGTTGACAAATTTGGATAAATTGAGTGAATCAAAGCATTTCTGTAGCTTTCCCTTTATCTCTTCTTCAAGTGTAGCTGCATGAAGATTAAAAAGCAATCATTCATTGATTCATAAAGAGTGTTTTACTAACCTTTGTGTCTTGTTCTGACACGAGGTACAGTTTCTCCTCTTCCCTTGATCAATACTTGAAGCTGTAAATAAAGCAATACAGTCAAAATTAAAAAGAATAGCAAGCACACTCTAAAAGATCGAAACACACGAACCATGTCTTAATACTCCAATATTACCCTCAAGTATAGAATATCTAGTCAAGTTGAATATGTGGGGACTATATGTAAAATACTGAATAGAGTTAATGGATGTTAAAATGTATTGAATAAAAGGTGGTCATGTTTGCAGACAGGCCAGACTGCTTAGCACAATGCATATCTTGCATTTTATAGTAGAGTTGACTATATAACAGCTGAATAGTGAATAACAACAATTGTATTTTTTTATAAAGGGTACAGAGCTATAGTCTATATGATACTGAGATGCAATAAATCTATGACAGTGAATACATACCATACTATAATGGCTACTGTAAAGTGGTGACAATAGAAAGAACTATTGTACACACTCCAAGACAAGAAGTATGACTATGCATACAATATGCTAGTTTTGCAGTGAATACATGTATAGTTGCATGAAATGCATTTATTTTAAACTGCACTATTATTCTTGCCATGAGTGGCTCCATGAGTGATTCTCATCATTTAGTAACTGGACTAGCTTTTCATTGAAATTTTTGAAGAATATTTTAAGTTTATTTTTTGTCCGTGTCAGCATTTGGAGGTGAGCATCATGGCGATAATTAAATTTAACTTGTGAGTTTCGCCTTTTGCTAACCCAATCATTCAAGTTCTCAACTTTTGGTGGCTTCGAAACTCCAAGAAAATCCCAAACCTTCTCTCCAACTTTAAGGGGAGACGCAAAGAAGTCTTCTGCAGCAATAAAAAGGAAGCTTGATCTGGAAAAAGACTAAACCACTTCTTAACATGAACATAGTAGACAGAC